TCCATAAACAATTCAATTAGTGACAATTGCTCTTGGGAGTAGGTCCATCCACTGGCCTCAAAAAGTAAAAGGTTTTAGAGTTCTTTGGAGGATGCTAAACCGTAATATCAAAACACTCCAGATTCAAAGCACTCAAAATAAAACTTCTTTGTCTGTTTGTCATATGCACAGGATGTTTGGACGTGGCAGCACTGCAAGCAGAAACAGCTCTCTGTTATGATGGCCGGTGTAAAGCGAGAGCGATGGGAATGTCAGACATGCTCATCACACCCGTAGATTTGTAAACGGTGCTCTCATTTAGAGAATATACTTCCCTGTTTAGTGTTCCTTTGCTTTATGGAGCCCCTGCAAAGGGACGGTCAGATTTCTGACACTGCTAATTATGAAGGAGTCCAACATTTTACAGTCAACATGTGCAGAGGAGGTTTAGATGGGATCATTGGAATCATTTTAGATGTGCATTTAGCCACACATTTAACAGATGCAGCTTATGTTAAACATTATACAAGAAGAGGAAGAACAGCAGAAGTGACTCACTGGAACTCCCTGCAGTCCATCTGCTCCTGGCAGCCCGGCGTCTCCTTTCTCTCCCTAACAAACACAACACAACACAAGCATTGACCAACAGATCTCATTTTTCCTTTTAAAATAAGTTTAGAGACACACTCAGAATGAAGTTAATGCTCCGTGAAGGGTTTGAAGTTAAAGGAGAAGCGTATTTTCCCACTGAAAGGAGTCTACGACAATTAAAGCGGCGTTGTGTTTGCTTTGCTCTCTCTGGACACATAAAACACAGCCTTTCAGTGCAAAGCAAGCCGGGAGCGCTGGAATAGAAACCATAACATCGACTTCTGTATGCCTTTTCTGTTTTCTTAGTTTTTAGTTCTGCTAGGAAACACTACAAAGATACATAAATGCACAAACACAGCAGATTTTTTTTTTATTCGATTTGTATGCATGTACAAATATTTCAAATCAAAACCTTCTAAAAACAAGATGCATGACTTAAGCAAAACTGTGCAAGTTAATAAGAAATCTTAAAATTGCATTTAGTTTCACACCCCTTAAATAAATTAATTAAATGAATGTAATTCAGGATATCTTGTCAGAAAATAAGTTCTACTAGGATACTCTACTATCACTGGGCGAAATAATTGTCTTATTTTCATAAGATAATTATTATGTTTGTCTTATTTTTCAGGATAAAAACTATTCTATCCAAACACATTCTATAAATTCTACTGTTCTATCAAACTGTATTCTGTAGATTCTATCATATTCAATCTGATTCTATTCAATTATTCTATAAATGAATGGAAATTTGAAACAAAATATAAGGTTATATAGGACTAAACACAAATTATATATGATAATAATATAATGATTTTTTTTCAGAAAATCTTGAATTAAGTTTATTTTCCTAACTCACTGGTATTCATTTATTTATTTAGAAACAGTCCTCACTAAATGTGTTAGATTAATGCTTAAAGTAAAACTATGCTAAATAAGTAATAAAAATGAATTCTTATAAGACTAAATGTCCTATCTTGGCGATGTAAATGTATCTTGTCTTAAGAATATTTAG